GGCTGTTTTGTTCCGCGCAACGGCGGAAGCGGGGCCGCTGCCTGAGAGAGGCAGCGTGCCCTTCCGGGCGTACTTCTGTTGGGGTATTATACTGTATCATTACTGCATCATAATGCATCTATTTGGGGTTACTTCTTGAAGGTCGTGGTCCGGATGGGCCACATGTGCTCACCGTTGCAATGGTGAGACTCCTTCTTGAATCGAGTGAAGTGGTCGAGATGCGTCCTGGAATGCAGGACTTGTTCGCAAAGACCTGCCCACGAGGCAAGTTTGCTTATATACATGAACACCGGATCCACCTTTTTCCTCAAAGGTCTACAAGGTTCTGAGACCAACTAGCGATAATACGAGGGAACGCCATCACGTTCGTGCTGCAAGAATCCGGCCTTTCGTGCTGCCCGAGTCCAGGATCCAAACGTGGTTTAAAAGGGCTTGAGATCGGGTTTTCATGCTCTTAGTAGTCCACTGAGGTGTAGTAGTTGTCGTGGCAGTAGTAGCAGCAGTCGCTGTATTTGTTATTATTCTTGTGTGTGTGTTTGTGTTTTGAGTTGCTGTGTTCTTCACTACCTCCGCACCTACCCTGCCTCTTTTCATTTTCACGATATGCCTGCATGTTGGGCCAAGGAGAGCGCTACGCACAGCGCCTCCTGCCCCAATTTGCACCTCACAGCGCCTGCGGACTCGCTCACGCGCGCCATGCGTGCGGATGTCCGTAAGGAGGCTCCGAGCCGGGCAGGGTGAGTGAAGTGACACCCAGCTGTCAGGGATTGTTGGGTTGGATAAACCTCAAGCACACGACTTCAGCATTTGTCACGTACGACGTAGACGTTTTGTTTCAAAAAGGGGGGTGATTCAGTGAGTGATCTGGGATCATCTCCAGGATTCTTGCAGTCCAGTTCCAGCCGAGTCGAGATCCCCCCATCCCTCCTCCCCGCACGGAGCAGCACCCGCACCTCGCAGGCCTCTCAGCGGCAGACGGAAAGCGCCTCGGAGCGAACGGCGAGTTACGGTCGCTGTGCGCGTCCAAACCTGGAGCCCCAACAGCATGCTTTCGAGGTAGGTCAACCATGGTCAAAGCCAACCAAGGAGATCCCAATCAATGGGTTTAGGTCCTATGTCCCTTTTTCTTGAGGGATCCTTGGGAGGTCTCCCCGTATTGGAATACACTCGCCACGGCGGGAATTGGTATGAATTGGTCATGTGCACCGTCAATGACACCTCGCGCATCGTAGTGCCCATGTGACGATATGTGTCCATGTTTCAAACTGTTGGACACATGTTTAGGTTTTCTTGGGGTGTTATCAGTGAACAGTCAACGGCGTCTATGGTTCTGGGCTCTAGCGAACGGGTTCATAGCATACTGAAGCATAGGTTAGAGCTTAAATCGTATTTGAACATGAACATTATATAACTATAACATTTCTATCAAATATCATATCATGCATGTGTACGATTATATTCTGATTCATATACTGGACTCTTGGATCTAACATCCCGTTTGACTGTGTTGAAGGGCGCCTCGACGCCTCGAGTGATCCTTTTTCGGGGCCACGGTCTAGGCCGACCCCACATACCTACCCAAAGGGGACAAGGCTTCCGAATTTCATAGATGTCATGACATCAATGACAGGTGAAAGATAATGACCCCTACCCCCAAGTTGGTGCACCAGAATCACGTTGATGAACGGCGACGACTAGAGTAGCTATAGGACAAATAGCCGTCCAGAACCTTTTGGCTCATCAACCATCCTGAGATCCGAATGCCTCCCGAAGCACCAAGAGTTCCGTTCCCCTCGTGGCCGCGAACGGATCGAAGCCTGAAAACCGTTTCAACGTGGAAGATGCACCGAAACCGAGGTGCGCACTTCGCACCCTGGATGGCCTACAATACCTTCACGCAGTCCATCGATTCCACTCCGGAAGGAGCCTGCTGATTGGGGCTAGGGCTAAGCCCTAGGGCCGCTGGGGTGTGGCATGGAATTGAAGAGATACAGCTTAGAGGTCGATGATGACACGGGCTTGCCTTAGTGTCTTAGAGTTAGACATTGGTGTTGACCAGCTGGATGTTGATACTACTCTTGGTGTGCCACTAGCTGTAGGTGCGTGGACGTTCAGATTATCCCAAAAGGCCTGTTCTCAATGGGAAACGCTTTTGCTTGGGCTTTTTTGGGACTAGGACGAGCCCATGCACCAGCTCAACAGAAGCTGTCAGTGAGCCGACTGGAAAACTATGACTTCGCTGCTTGGTTGATTCTGAAGGTGGCGGAAGTGGATGTCTCTTCATGTGTTTTTTGTGGTTATGTGCGATTGGTGTGCACTTAGTGTTTTCTTTTGTGTTGTTCAGCGGCTTGTGGCTCTTTGATCAAGGGCTGTTTGACAATAATTATATTACGTCCCGATCCCAAAATCTATCAAAATAGGGGCCGCGCTTGAAGAACATGCACATCCTGTGACAACGTTGCTTGCTCCTCGTGGAGTCATGACTGAGCAACATGTTCTCGTTTGTCGATTCGTGCTTTCAGCTCGGTTCAGTTCGCTTTCCATGTCGTTGTTCAGCTCTTACAACTCAGGGCATCACTCGACACAACAACCACTACTCCTCCGGCGACAAGCTCACACGAGCGGATCCTTTCTACATGCGCCCACGGGTAGGCCGGCTTCATCCTGCACCGGGGGACCGTTGCAGGAGCGGTCGGGGGCTCCAGGTGGTGTAGGAATTGTTCCTTCGACCAGTTTCCAAAAAAAGTGAGGTAGTCTAAATTGGTCTAGTCTAGTGCATCTTGGAGACTCCCGGTTGAGAAACAAAGAGTAGTCAATTTTCCACCCCAAACTGCACGAGAGGGGTGCTAGGACAGGGTCAACTGTTTGGGCCCAACTGTTAAACATATAGAAAATAGAATGACATAGAAAGGATATCCAACTCCAAAGAGGGATTCATACCTTCATCGGCTTTGTTTGAGCCCCTTCCCAACTCCCAACAGAAAAGACCAGAAAAAGAAAGCCATGCCGAGAGTTCTTGCTGTCCAGCTGCCGCTTTCTCGCCACCCGGTCTTCTCCTTCCGGCTTGCCCCAGCTTGGACGGTGGCAGGGGACACCCTCAACTCAGTGAAGTACGACATCATCACCAACGAGCGGAGACGCGGCCGAGTTACGAGCGTGCGGAAAAACCGTTGTTTTTCGAGTCGATGGCACAATGCCCCAAAGGTGTTTGATGTGGAACCATGTGGATCCCCATCTAAAGGACATTTTGGGGTCTGTCCCATCTACTCTGAAACCACTGTAATTGGTTGTTTGCCGGCCTGGGCTCCGTCGTCACTCGCTTTTGGGCGACCGGATGGGAGGATGCCGTTGGGGGGGCGAGGTGACTTGGTGAACGCAACGTTTTGTTTTTCTAAATCCTTTTGTGTTCAGGACAGCTACCACGAACGAATATCAGTTGGCATGGAGGCTGATGATTGCAAGCTGGTTTCCCTTTCTCCTTCGTCCTTCTTCCTCCTTTTGGATCGAGGGGCGGGACCCTGAAAGGTACCAATCCACTGGCCTCCAGCGGCAGAGGACACAGCGAGTTGGATCATGTTGTTCTTCCATCGATGTCACACCGCCCAAGGTGCCGATCGATCGGATGGTGCGTTTTCACGTTCAGGAAATGGTTCAAGTACTGAGCTGGTGGTCCCCACCGGTCGAGAGCCGGTGCAAAAGCATGTTTCACTGTCGTCTCACACGGTCTCACCAGGTTTCAAGATCTGGGCGGCCCAGCTGCGGTGTTTTGCTCGAAAGCTTCAGATGTTGTTTCGAGGATTTGACGGTCTTCTCATGGTGCCTATGGCAAATGATATTTAACGATATTTAAAGTCTTAAGTTTGATTTTTGTTGAAGAACCGTTCCTGGATTCCAGACTATATATATATATACACTCACTGTAAAACCTTATGTGTTAAAAGTTATGCAGTCTATAGCTAGTCGAGCTCCAGAGTAGATAGGTTCCGCCTTGCGGATGATGGTGTTGCACAGCTACCATGCATGCCCATGTAGTTTTGTAGCTCCATGTTGATAGAGATGGACGAGCGCCACACAAGCACAAACCAACAGGAAGTTTCTACATCGGATAGTTTCTCGCAGATGCACTGCAAGCATGCGTCATATTCATGCTGTAGAGGTCATCCACCTGCTCGCATTCCTTTGTCTCTATATGATCCAGTATACCCCTTGTACTCCGTCCATTCGCAGACACAGGAGGACATCCTGCAACCATAGTAGCAGACACCCTGGATGTGCAGAGGAGTGCTCGCAATTTGTTTTCCTCACCAGGGACACCCCCCCCCACCTGCGACTTCAGCACTGCTGATCGCCCAGCCGGAACGCGCCCCGCGGAACGCGGGGGAACGGGAGACGGAGTCCTCTCGAACCTTGGGATGTGCATCTGACAGCCTGGGAGAACAAGAATCCGTCGGACGGCCGGGTGGTCCACAGTCATGAGTCGGGGAATGTCCATGACTATGTCCATGATATCAAAAAAGGGAGACCTCCAAAAGACCCTCTGGAAGAAGGCAATAGACTCAATAGACTAAAACACACAGGTTGGGTGTCTCCCTATTTCCGTAAAATGCGCACCCATATGATTTTGGAAGTGATTTTGGATGATTTTAGCATTTAGGTGCAAGCTTGGAGTTTGGCAAGAAGATTGTTTCCTAAGACCCGCAGGGCCGCAAGGCAATTCCTTGGCGCACGTCATTCGATATATATATATATATCATTCTACCACTGTTATAGAATAGTGTCATCCATTTCCCAACTGGCTCAGCTGCAAGAACGTTCTTTATATCAACTGAGGCAGTTTTGTTTCTCCTTTTCGCACCCTCTCAAAAACAAATTTAAATGGTCCAAGTCACATATTCATCAATCACATGAGGGGATCAAGACCAGAAAACCAGTCGGGACTCGTGGCTCGCGGATACGGACACACCTGGCTTCTGTACTCCTTAAGCTACCGCCCGCCACAGGCACCACCTGTGTCATTCCCAGTGCCTTTCAATGAAGACTTCGACCAGTTGCCCGGCAAGATGTAGGAGCAGGGCCATGCTGACCTGTGTGCCCCAAAGAACGACGCTGGAGGTCGCCATTGGACTTGCCAATTCCACAGCGCTCGCATGCACATTGCCACAGGTCAGGTTCCAGTTGAATCCATGTGCCATATATAATGTGACTGATGCAGGGCAAGTGCGGGAAGTGGACGGTGCAAGTGAGCAACATAGACTTCGTCAAGCGTTTTTGTTGCTGCGATGTCCAGAAAGGTTTTGAGAGTTATGATATTGTTCTTTGCGCAAAAGCGCGCACATCGTCCTGGCACCAGCATGGTTTTCATGAATGGGACCGTTTGATGCAATTGACCCCGCCCAAAATGCTGCACCATTTGCGCCTCTCTTCATCTCATTTCTACGTCTGAGTTGACACATTTTGGACGCCCTTCCGAAGCGCTGAAGCTGAGGTACGTCTCAGATGCCACTTAGAAAGATTGGAGCGACCAATGACCAATGGAGAAGGAAGAAAATCCAGTAAAACCACAGAACCGGGGAATGTTCTTGACTCTTCACCCCAAGCGTTGCTGTGAGTATGACATCGATTAAGCAAGTCCTGTTTTTGACAGAGACACTATCAGAAAGCATCAATTATGTTGCAAAGGGCAGCATTTGGAATGAGAGCAATGCGAAAAGCTGGCTAGTTGTATATAGCGGGTCATCGATTGTTCCTATTAAGTTTCATTGTTTTCATTGCGTCCCGTTGCGTTCGCGTTCGCGTGTGCACCCTGAAGACTTTTGCTCGTGCACCAAGGAGACTCCCGGCTATTTTGCCGACTACGGGGGATCTTTTCAGGTATCAGAGGCTTCTGGGACGTCCACCATGCGGGCGGAGTCGGCTCAAAAGGACTTATGCATCATAGGGCAGATAGGCTATGATAGGGATACTTCGCTATTAGTTGCATATTTACTTGCTTTAGTACAGGCATCCAACGTCCATGTGTTTGGTCCAGCCATTAGGTTTGGAGTCAAAGTCGTCATTAATAAATATACATTCACTACATATGATTATATATATATATACTTAACTATATATATATATATTTACATACACATACATCTATACTCTTGTTGGCAAGCGGCGTGCAACCCAAAACCCAGAACACCAATCCTCGACGGTCAAATTCCTCTCCGGCATCATCCCACGGCCAGAGGTTGGGTAACGTGATTTGCACAAAAACCGCATCATTCTAGATTTACCACCCCGTGAGTCTGTGAGTTTGTTTACATGAGTTTCAAGCTGAAAAGCACTGGACCTAATATAAGGGCCCCAAAGGTTGGCATTGGACCCAAGCGCCAAGGGGTTGACTAATGGGGCACCCCTCATGCGCCAAGCTTAGGACCCGTCCATACCCGGATCCCCGGTGTTTGGTCTCAAACCGACGAGCACCAATGCCCTGCAAGAGAGAAAGGCTCCGTTGGCGCGGACGCGAACAGATTCTCATTATGATCCATGGTCCTTCCAGGATCCAGCCTATCCACCCAACCTGGTGCTGAAGCAAGGCATTGCCCAGAAGGCCGGGCCGTTCGAATGGGCACGAGTTTCGCAGAAGAGGTAGGTGTGTGTGATGAAAGAGGGAGACCAAACAGTATGGATAGCGTGTCTCGTGTTGGTTAAAAAACACCGTTCGGAACCTAAAGATTTCAACGAGGAGCCAAAGTTTGATGCACCAAAAGCCAGACTTGTGGCAATTAATCCAATGCACCAAATAGGTCCAAATCACGCGGGCGTTCTGGATTTTAGTGCACTCCAGTGGAGGGAGCCATGGATGTTATAAACCGTTCTGTATGCGACTGCTGTATCCACTGTTCAGATACATCCAGCAGAGGCGGGGCCCACTTGCCGGGTCCGTCTCGTCCCTGACGAGGCAGGGACCAATGCTTGGGTGTCGGCCGCGGAGCCCATGACCTTGATTGGACACAGGCGATGAGCGCACATGTTTTTCCGGGTGGGCGCTGATTTTTGGTCACGACAGGTTTGGGGATTGATTTGCTGGATGTAACTTTTGGCTAGAAATCAGTTATATAGTAGGTGGCAACATCTCATCTTGAGTGGGTTAGAAGATGTCGGATTTACTTCTACTTCACTCGTCAGAATCATGAGACATACTATCAAAACCATTCAAAACCCATGGCTAAGACCCCCACACATAGGTAATTAGTGGTCCTGCTTAACAGGAAAGAATAGTGATTCATCCTTTCTGAAGATTCCATAGAATAAGAGTCTTCAAAGATCTTCAACGTGAATGTACGAGGGGACACCGCGCTCATGGTTGCTCACTTCGGCCATGACGTTTTGTCATTGGTGAGATTTTTTTGCAAGCTTAACTTATGTCCATGGGAAGGAATTTCAGCCAATTACTCCTGCATCTTGTCATTGTTGGGTGGCCGAAATCACCGGCAGGTGATGAAAGGCTCTTTGAGCTAGCGTTTTTCCATGTGCGCGTGTGGAGGTAGGCCAAACTCCTGTATTTATGCAGTCATCAATGTAGACGATAATTTAACTCGCAAATGAATCACGATTGTCATCGCGTGTCATACTGGTAGCCTCGCCTTCATTCTACTACCCAGAGTATCCTGAGTTCACCAAAAAGAAACCACGTGGTTTGTAGAGGACGCACGCAGCAACCAGGTTTTCTACTCCATGCAACATTTATGTAGCCCCTGTACATGGGTAGTCCAGCCGCCACACCGTTCGCATGGCAGGTTAGATGACATCGTCATGAGCGTTCCTTGGCCTATCGATTTGTTCATGTGGTGATTGGTGATGAATCAAGATGAAGATAATTATATACAAAAGATGATAGGACGCACCCTTTAGACCGTCCTAGGTTCCTTCAACATTAGTTGGGTGCCGCCGTTTCAGCCCGGAACATGGGCACCATTTTCCGAGTAAACATCGCCCCAATAGCAATCAATGTTTGCTCCCGATTTTGGCAGAAACGCAGGGGAACATATCTCAAATGATCTCAAAATGCAGATTTTCGCAGCTGCTCTGGCTAGATGTGCCAGTGCCTGTGCACAACCAACGAGAGTTCCACGTACCCCCCTTGCTTTGGGCAAAGGGCAGCTTGCGGGAACCATAGCTTCTGAGAAGCTTCTGGGTGAGATTTGCAGCTCTCAGTCCGGGCCACAAATTCACTCGGCCACCCGGAGTCCACTGCAGGTGGACGTGTTTTTGCCCGATTTCACTCAGTGCCTCAGCGGGATGGTAGCGGTTTGCTGCTGGTTTTGCAGAATGAGATGGCACATGCACACTTTCAGTAGACGATCGGGGTAAATGTGCACATTCTCGCGTTACCAGATGACTAAGTTAGTAAAGAACGGTCGTGATGTCAAGGAATTGGGCCACAACCTGCAAAAGCGAGTTTTAAGGCTGATATGTTCAGCTATGTTGACAGTGTGGTTAAAACTTGCAAATTCGATAACCTTGCTGAATTATGTTCACTACTTAACAGTACGTTTTTGCAGACGGTCAGGTGGATATCAATCGAGTGTGGTCAAGGGCTCTAAGGAAGGGTTGACCAGCAGGTGCTGCTTTGGCAACTTCACGAACACCGACTTTTGGTGTGACCAGCCTGAGCACAACGTACTTCGCACCTAGCACCAGTGGCACATTCAATCCCGTTTCAGCACCTTGAAGCTAGTGTAAGCAAAAAGATCGGGGAGGATCATGCCCCCGTGTCGGCATGTGTTAACCACAACATACCACAAAACCATTTAGTTTTGGCTTATGTTTGGTGCACGGTGTGTGTGGTCTTTGTCCATCTTTGCCCCCCAGGTCAGGCCCATGGCCGATCGCGGGATCGCACGGGCCGAGGCTTCCTGAAATGCCTGAGAGGCCTGGGATTCAGGCCCAGCCCGAGTTGATGGACCTGTTTCCTACGCATCCTGTGTGACAAATCCTGGCGTGGGTGGCTCAGGGGCATAGATGGCCATGGCCATCGGAGGGGAAGTTGAAACAGGGACGGTTGACGATAGCAACCTCCAGAAGAGATAGACATGCATGCTCTTTGAACACGAGTTTGACCTTTGTTGACCTTGATCATCCTTGATCTTATTTTGTTTTGTTGTCGGTTATTTTCACACCTACATCTTGCTGGAAGACCACATTAGTCAACACCAGTATGCTAGTAACTTCACTACATTCCACCACCTAGATTCGCGCATGTATGTCGAGAAACGTACGGGGTCATATATGGAGTCATGTTGTCATCCAGCTTCTCAGCCATAATTATATCATTCATATCCCAGATACTCCATGTATGCCATAATTATATGCCTACATTGACCTCCCAAACCACCCCAATGTAAGCATATATGGCATACATGGAGTGTCTGGGTATGGGGTCATCATTCCCATATCATATAGGGTAGGGTCATTATATATATATATGATTAAACTGCATCCTCGCGGTGGGGTTAATATAATAGTATATCCTGCATCCTCGCGGTGGGGTTTGCGTTGGATTCGCCAGGCCGCTTGGGACGGGCAATGCCTCTCGACCGGTGGCGCTGCTGGGGCCCCGGGCAAAGTTCGGGGGGGCTCTGACAGGTTGGGAGAAATTACTCCCCCCTATGTGAAGAGAAGAGATTTTACAACATCGGCCTCACAGGTTGGTACCCCTATCGGTGCTGTTCCTAGATTTTTGCTTGTTGAGTTGAGGGGACCTCACTGCCCTGATGGACCAAGGGTGCTCGAGGCAGGTTGTGTCATCGGTGTTATCCCATCTGAGCTGAAGCTTGTGTTTGTTGTTTTTTCATCGGACTTCCTTTTCACTGATCAGATCATGAGTGTTTACAGTGACGTTCTCCTGGCCCAACGGGGGGCTTCGAGCGAGCGGAATGCGAGAGCAGTGATAGGCTTTACAGTCCAATCCAAATGGGGTGGGTTATCAATGAATCCAGATTCTGGCCAGCAGAACTGTGGGTTGATGCCAGAATATGCTGAGTTGAACTCACAGCAGGAATAATTGGTCATGGCTTGAGGTAAATTGGTCAGGAGAGTGTCCATTTTTGGGCGGATGACATTTTGGCTACATACAATATTATTGCAACATCTAATCAAAAGCTGCCTTCAACTGCATGGTGCTCACCTTACAATCAATCAACATCCGTCTCAAGTTTGGCGGCGCCCCTCGAGGCCTTTGGCACTTCTCCACCGCTCCTGCAAGAGTCCTGCGAGGCAGTTGCTTGTTGCCGCTCTAAAATCATTTCAAGTCGGAATGCAGTATATAATAGTATATATATGCACATATATATATTATATGTATATATAACATATGCATATATATATATATGATTGAAAGCTAGCACCAGCTAGCTGGAGTCGCCCTCACTTTAGCACGTGAGGGCTGGAATCCTCGAGAGTGCCGCATCGCGTGGAAGACCTCAACCCTTGACCTCATATATATATATATTACATCATAGATAATTGAAAGGTTGGGTGAGTCCCCAAATTGCCCGCTGATAGATGGAGAAGTGATGACATGGTTCTCTATTTTTGTTTGGTGTGTGTGTGTGTGTTCTGAATGAATGAACGTATGTTAGACAGCTAGGGCTAGATGAGCAGCGTCAAAAACCTCTCACAACCGTTTAAACATGCAAACTTAAGCCACCGCGTAAGTATATGGTAAAATTCACCACCGCTGAAGCTTTGCAGATGTACATATTCCATATTATTGACAATACTAAATGCTTCTACTACTAAGATCTACTAAGGAGATCTATCTAACCTATGAGCACTTTTGAGAAATACGTCGCGGAAGTGCCGCGGAAGAGGATTTCAACCAGACATGGCCCACGGAAGCCAAAACGCAGGTCGCGGAAGCCACGCGCAAGCATTGGCGGAAGCAAGTCATGAGTATAACAGATCGTAGACCGGTTTTTGACACTGCTCAGATGGGATTTACTTGTTTTGGTTTGGTGTCCACACCATAGGTATGATAAAGGTATAGCAGATTTTGAGGTCCATTTGTGAGGACTTGCTCTATATAGTTTCTGTATTTGTGACTTGACTGGACTATTGTCAGTCTAGGGATGTCTAGGGCGTACTGATCATACCTCACAAGGGCATCGTGGCAGGTCAAGCTCCAGCAGAGCTTTATCTTGGAAACCTCCAGTGGACGTCTACTGGCCGTGGAAACCTCATCACCCCAGCAGTCGTCGCCCCAGCGGCCGTGCTTTCGCCGCAGACACGACCGGTGCATAACCGGCCGCCAGATCAGGAGTTCCCATCCTGAATTTGCTCACTTCTTTGCACCGAACTCGTGAGAACGGTGATGGCAAACTCAAGCTTCTGGGATGATTTGGACCAAAAGGGGCAGACTCGAAGCACAGTCCTAGGAACCATAGAATATATCCGGTCCAATTTCAATGCTTGTTCTTCACCCTTGCGGCACCAGTGGGGACACGAGAGGAAATCCTTGGCTCCGGACCGACTCTGCTACATGACCCCCCATTTGATGGACGAAGAAAGCCGCCGGCTCACGGGTCGTGTGCAACCCCACCCATGTGATGTTGACATGGAAAAGCGCCATACCAATGACGTGGTGCCGGAACTGCATGGCATTCCCAATGATAAGAAGAGGCAGTCTCAGAGGGCGGCAAGAACATGGTGCACGCAGCGGTGCAGGATTTTGTCCATCAACTGTACGAAGTGAACAAGAAGCATTTGTATAGGTGAAACCTACCGAACCTGCTATTGTGTGTCCCATTGTGTATGCCAGGAGCAGTTTCTGTTTTACAGAGAAAGCCACCTTTGCAACCCAATGAAAGCCCTTCCCTGCAAATCCCCTAAAAGGTGACGTTTGAACAGTGAAAACGGAGTTCTTGAGCGCCGTTTGAAACATTGTCTAAACAGGTTGTCTTAAAAGCGACGTGTTGGATTCTGATTCCCGAGGTCATGCCTCACAGCGCATCGCTGCGACCTCTCGAGCCCCTATGCAGGCGGATGCCAGCAAAGCGACCCTGCCAGAAGAAAAGCAACATGTTGGAACCTTTGGTGTTGTCACTCTGCTTTGTGCAATTCGACTGGTGATGTTTGAGGCAACATTCAATCCTTTCCATGACCCCTCAGCCAACATAGCTCGCCCCCCAGCCCCGCTCCAGACCCTGGTGTGTGCATGCGGCCGTGCTCCCATGACCAGCTGGAGATGTCGAATCAGACCTGGGACGCTTGTCCTGGGCATTACCTGAGTAATGAGGTGAGAAATCTGTGGAGTCAAGAACCCCCCAGCTCCCTCTCAATGCGCTACAGCAAAACCCCAATTTTTGGTGAGTCATGGCAGGGTGGTGCTTGTCATTCAGTGTGGTCGTGATGGGTAGTCTGATGGTTCAGTAGTATCGCCAAATGACCTGACTCTATTGCCATCCCCTTCTCCCTCTTCCTCTCTTTTTGTGCGGCACTCACACGCACTTTTGCACGACTTCTTTTCTCCTACGTGAACCATGGACGGAGTCCCCAAGTGATGCCCACTTGAGGTGGTTGAAGCTGCTCTTCTGGAGGGTCCTTTTGAAATTTCAGACCTGCAACGTATTCATTCCTATTCCGTTGAAAAATGTGAGGCTTGAGCGTCAAGTGACTGGTCAGCGTGCTCAGAAGATGGTCAACATGCCCAGAAGAAGATCCGCTTTGATTTTCACTTGATCGGCATTCTTTATCCCTGAGGAGTCACCGAAAGTGCCGAAAAGGCAAAAATCAAAGCTGATCTTCTTCTGGGCATGTTGACGATCTTCTGAGCACACTGACCTGTAGCTTGACCGGACTGGCTCAAGTCTCACAAGTTCTCCATCTCCTTTAAATGAGCCACTGTTCTAGGCTTCAGTTAATTATGCTCGAGGCGCAAAATAGCTCTGGGAGATTCACTGAAGCAATCAACTTGGGACGCTTACAGGGTGGTCCAGCTGAGCAAAGGTCAGCACCATGCCCTGCCTGGTATGAAACTCCTGAAACCGTGGAAAGCCCGGTTCCCTCTCCACGCTTCACCCGTGCCACATCAGAAACAAAGAAACCAAACACAGGAAATCTACTGCATACCTTGCAACATTTCAAGCTGCTACAGTGCAGTCTTAGTAGGATGTCTTAGGGAATGATTTGCCTCCGCTAAGCCCTGCTAGACCATGCCTCCTCGAAGACTCAAGTCCTCCACACCCACTCAGTCAGTGACGTGGAACGTTGCAGTAGCCAGCACTCTTTACAAAAGAGACCAGGGACTGCCGACTAGGACGCGTACGGCTCAGGTTGTTAAGACTTTTATAAGACATCGGATGTGGCGCGCAATCGAGACATCGGGCCTGGCTCTTGTCGTGTTTTGTAACTGGCTCTTGTTGGTGGCCCTTGTTGTTCCTGGGTTCTGGCTTCAAACAGTTCTGCTGAGGAATGGCATCCCGATGGCAGCGGCTTGGTCAAGGTGAGATTGGATTGGTCACCCATCATAGCCACCATTGCCTCTCAGTACTACTCTTGATGGGTGAGGAGTACTGCAACACATGAACCCGCCCTTCAGCGCGGCAATGAGATCATACCACACGTCAAGCCTGCGGGATCAATTGCTGTAGAGACCACACATGTACGGACGGCACGGGTTTCAATGAAATGGTTGATCAAGTTCGTGGGTAAAAGTGACCTACCAAAATGGATAACCTTTGACCATCTTTGACCTTTCTTTTTGATTTGGTTTCCCCACTAAACACGGACAGGTGCACAAAAGGTTGACCTTCATTTTCCAGGGAAACTCAGGGAGTCAGATGAGGATATCTCAAGCACAGGTCAGGCTTCCAAGTACTCGAATCCCATAGATCAAAGACCCGGGACCAGTGAGGACGCTCTTATGTGACCATCATTGACAGACCAACTCGCTGGAAACGCTTGGCGAGGAAAATGCCTTGGAGACTTGACAATTTGGAAGCTCTGAAAGTCTGAATTGAATTCAACTCGTAGGGTGCCAGAAGTTGTGGGACAGGTCTGAAGCGCAACAGCAACTTCCAGAATGCATCCGAAGACAACTTGAATCGAATCACGCACTTGCAGCTCCAAAAGCTTCTGAATTGAATGCACATGAATATCATAACAAACAAACATGAAAATATGATGGCAGCGTTTCGTCCGGGAGACGTGGGGACTGGAGACGTGAGATCTCACCCTCCAAGCGGTGTACGGCGCACCTTTATAGGCATAGCGGCATAGTATAGTACCAGGACCTTCCAAGGGGTGTCTATGTATAGCCCCTTAGCCGTTAAGGGGTGTCCATTGACCGCCCCTTGAAGGCCCTGGTAGTGATTCAACATTTCGCGGCCTCAGAGGGGCTTCCCTTTGCCTCAGAAGGTGTGTTCCCACAGCTCCTTTGACGGATTAGGATGAGGAACCCATTTTGGCACCAGTGTGGCAGCTTTAAAGCTGCTTTCTTTATGTTCCTTCCCGTTCGGTGGCTTCTTGCTGTCAGGGCACCTTACATGGGGTGTGTTGCCAAGAATCTCTCCCGACTAGTCAGGGGCCAAGCTCCTTTTTCCGTTTGTTTGCCCCCAACTGCCCCCAACGCATGATTCACCCAGGCCTCCGCTTGCAGATGCACCCAAACCTTTGCTTGACCCAAGGCACGTTCAGGGAAGTGCATGGCCACCGGTCACAACACATCATGTTTTTTCGGAAGGGGGTTGCAATCAAAGGGTGGCCCACTGACATGTGGCACAATCATTATTTATAGTAATAGTAGAAAAATAGCAAAAAAGGCCGATTGAGCTCGCAGGAGGTGCGCATTTTGATTTTCCATTTTGCAGCCACTTGCAGCCACTTGCAAGTGGCTGCCAAGTGGCTGCAAGTGACTGCTACTTCTGTCCGGAGAATATCATGATTTCTGAAGAAGACCAAGATTTTTGCAATGCTGCTCTGCGAAGAAATTCCGGTTTTCTCCCGAGCTGCGCGCGGAGAAAACATGAAGTCGCCCAAGACTTTTCGGAAAAATAAACATTGAACGTTACAAGAACGGTTCCACAAATCAAAGGTTTGGTGGCTTGAAGCCCTTGAAACCCTTCAATCAAACATCCTGATTAGAAGAGGCCATGTTCAAGCATGGGTCATCTAAGGGTCTGCGGGTTTGGCATCTTGCCAGCAAAATGCCAGTCAGCAACCTATATAACATCGATTCGTAACCTTTCTGGTGTGCCAATCGATGTGGGATCTGGAAACTGCTTGACGTTCTCGGTGCAGATAGTAGTTCCACTGGGCCCCGCGACAGGCGGAGACTTCAGCAGCATGTGGGGGTGGAAGACAGCAATGCAAGCTAGCAGCTATAGGATGCTATAGGTGCTTTGGTGTGTTCGCTGTTGGTTGACTCCAGATTCTCAAACATTCTCAACGATGTGTAGTGAGGCCTTGAGCTGACCGTCCACAAGGGATTCTACGCGGAATCGCTCATGACCTTCTGGTCCCAAGTGTTGTTTTCAGTGGTGCAGCCACTAAGTGGTGGTTTGCGATTCTTGGTTGGTGAAGTCGACAAGTAGTAAATCCCCACGAAGCATCCTCTTCTCACACTCATCCACTTCTCCCAGAGTTGTTTTGAGGGAAGATCTAACAGGATGCAATGATACACATGTCACGTTTTCACCCATGTTCAACGCCCAAATCACGACCAAGCCCAGCCATCCAAAATCGAAGATCTCAAACACGTTTTCAGGTCGAGATCGCCAAGACCGCGCGTGCGGACCCTCATCGCACCGCGGGGGTGACGCTTCTAGCGCCGAAAAATGCGTGGTAGTTGGCCTCAGTGGGGGCTTGGGGTCTAGTTTAAGACGTCCTACATGTTTGAAACATGTTCAAAATTGCATTCATATTATAGACGTGACCTTAATGGTATATACCTTCGCACGGTGTTGGCACATTGAGGCATACCGCCTTTGTGCTGGCCGACTGCGGCGAGCCACATGCCCTTCCAACTCAGTCGCCGGGCCAAGAATTGTGAACGCTGGGGTGGGAGGTCAAGCGGGTGTCCAACAAACCCGCAGGTTTCAGTTTACTTTTTTGAGCTGTAGCCACATATATATATATATATACTGTATCCATTTAGTAAATGATGCAACCCCTCCTAGCTGGCTCACCCTCATGGCGAACACTGACCGCGGGCTTTGTTCACCGCAGCCTTGTTCCCGTGCATGCATGAAAGGTCTCACATTCGGACTCTGCGTGTGCGTTTTGTGATCCGATATCTAGCACCAGTAACGGTTTGCAAACGAACTGCAACATACCAGGACCATCCTGTTTGGGTGTCCAATGGAGATCCCTAAATAGTGCAGGTTAGTCCAGCCAGGACACCCAGACTGGAGTCTGGATAAGCCAATGATTGAAGCCCCGACCCGTCACGGGACAGTTTGTACTCTACGGCTTTGCGTATCTGTACATGGGGCTCTCTCTACAGTACACGGTACGTGGGATCCGCGAAGCACGAGGATTCCGCAGGTTGGAAGCTCACTGTGTGTGCCATCATGTGAGCGACTGCCAAAACCTCCGATGAAGGCAGCATCACTACAGCGAAGACTAAGTAATGGAAACCTTCAGGAGCGGTAAGGTTCACAGAAAAAAACAATAAGGTTTTAGTACATTTGTTTGGTGTGTCCAAACCCTTAGGAACGATAAGGTTCACAGAAAAAGACGATAACGTTGGGAAGCGTGCGCACTACAGCACATAAGAGGTTTTGCACGTCGCTCCTGTGCCATCCCTTCATCGCACGCAGATGATTCGTTTTTTTTTCCGCTTCGCAATGCGTCGCCTAGCCTAGGTGGACAAACGATTCAATTTGGATCAACCTCAGGGTGGACATTCCACCCACCATAGGGATGGTTTTTGGGCGGGTGGAGATGGGGCAAACATCAGGAGCGTGACAACACAGAAGACAGTTCCATCACCTCAAAGCCGTGATATATAGTGGAGAGATAGGTGCAGACTCAGAATTGTCCGAACCCACAAGTGACAAATTGATACAAATTGTTTAGATTTTAGATAGGATGTGGCCGTTTTTGGGTGGCAGTTGACATTCCACATGGCATTGTTTTGCACTTTGAGGCGATTCCTAGCCACCGGGCCCATGCCCATCTACACAGGCCTGTGTGTGCGTTTGGGGGCCTGGCTGCTTAGGGTCATCAGGAACCTCACCCTCTGGAGGTGGAGGAGGTGGTCGAAAGAACACGGGTTCTTTTGGTGGCAGAATGCTGCATTGAAGTGCACGAACTCTGTTGCAAAGTGGAGCTGGCGCATTCGTTATGGGGCACAGAAACATACTACATAATGTGATGGAATATGCAATTGCTTCTCTACAAACTGTACAAGCTGGAGGCTTTGCATCCTTGGTGTTGAGGACTTCGTAGTTCTCCCCTGGCCCATCTTCCATGAACAAAATCTTGTAATGGCAGGGCAGGTGGGGGACTTGAATTTGGCATGATGTTGCATGAAAAGACGGTTCCTCACGAAAGCATGTCAAACTTTTGCATCGCCATCCGTGTGGGTCCAAAGTCTCCTGGGGCCACTACACGGATTCGACAAGACGACGTTCGCCTTCAATGTTCCGTGGGTCACATGATTTGACAAGCCTGACATGCCTTGGGTTTTCGGGCTCGGACATGCTGATGGATGTAGTCAGTCCCAGAAACAATTCAACAAGTGACCAACAGGACCTTCAGTTCGTGACCTCTTTGGAGTCTCTAAGTGCCCTCTTCAGGGACTAAGTGACCTCATTCTGGGATCTCAAGAGGTCCTGGTGTAGTGTGTTGGCTTTGCAAAACTACCGGACCATGGGCCATGGTTCACCACCCCGCGCATCCTACCACCACCGACGGTTTCTCACGACCGAGGTCTCCAACCCCGTGCACGGCATGAAGATCCAGGACATCATGACTTGGAGTCGGTGGGAGATGGTTTTCGTTCATTCGGTTGGAGGACATGTTGGTTGGACAATTGGTGGATTTGGTTAACTGCATTTGATTGGAGGAAATTGAATTGAAATCGTCACGAATTGTTGGAATCTGGCCCTGGAATTTGACCAAGCATCGAGCAGAACTGGCAGTGGCTGACGGCCTGCAACCTGATCCGGTAGGCGGTATCCATGAAGTTGAGTTTCCGAGGCCTTTTCGGGTACCGAAATCCAAGGCGTTCCTCAGCGTCACGGAGGGCATCCGGGCTGGTGCAGCCTTCAATTGACTTTGGCTCACAGGAAAAGAGACTGCTAGCTTCAGCAAGAAGAACTCGGGTCAGGTCTGTGCCCTGTAGCACAATGTCAGCCTTCCAGCCGCACCCTACCCAGCAGACGTTTTTTTGGCACTCCAGTTGTAAGCCATCCATCAATCAGGCTCCACATGGTCAATGAATGGTTCCGCTCTTACAAAGTCCTCAGAATTCAGAAAGAAGCTCTTAAAACTAAGATCAGCCTTGTGACTCCTCAAACCCAGGCCATGTTCTTCTTTGTGAGACAGGACCAACTGTACAAAACTCTTGATTGGGACGATGCAGTTTGAACATCTGTAATTGCCACACGCCAAGAGAGGAACAATGAGGATGGCCATGGAAATGGTCAGATAGTATAGCTTTTGACTTAACACATGTCAACACTAAAGTTCCCCAACCCCGCCTGGATTACTGACGTCTCCCCCGCGCCATGGCGCACCGCTGGTCCGAGCTCCTGGAGCCGGAGGCCCCGGAGCCGCCGCTTCCCCTGCGGCCGGGGATCGAGGCCTTGGAGGCGAGGGACCGGTGGGTCCTGTAGGAACAACCAATGGACGCTATCTACGGATGCGCCAGTAGGCGTCTCGGAAGTAGGCGTTCAGACGTAGATATGGAGATATGGAGGCGATTTGAATCGCAATTGTAGGTTGGAGGCCAGAAGCTATGAGGAACAAGAAGCTACTATCGTTCTAGGAAGTGATTGGGGCATGGTCCAGGATGGTGGAAATGCACCCATATGTCCCGAAAGAGTGCAGTGGCGGACTGAGCCAAAGCGGTCCTAATCCTCGGCATCACCGCTGGCACACCTCGTCGGCAGGTGGCAGGCACGACCTTTCACCTTCCAAAGAAGCGACTTGGATTTTGCAGCTGGAGCCATTGGTACAGCATGGTCAAGCTGGACTAGTTCAGATTGAAGCCACTAGGATGGCCTGAAGAAGATTGTTCTTCAGGCATGCACGTTCTTTGACACTCCCTGGAACAATCATGGAAGTGGACATAGTTTTGTGCTGTTTGCCCGGATGACTCAAGAATGCGATTCCTTCCGAACGCCGTGCTTCTCAAACACCCTCCCACAAAACCAGTCACACTATGTAGTAGTCCAGAGGGCACTTTATTCCAGAGATTGCTGGGATGCGAACTTCGGCGCCAGCTCATCGAACCTCAGGTTCCACCCTTTGCGCGCGCTAGGGAAAGGTACTTATGGTGCAGTTGCTGCCTTTCGTGATGCCGAGACGGGGCAGGTGCGACACACTGACTGAAGAAGCCGCAGGTGTTTTTCATTGTTTTTCTTTTTTGAGCTCTGAAAACTGAATTTTAGATATTCCGGGTCTTTGTTTGGGTTCCGGTGTGAGGTTCGTTTCTTTTTTGTGGAACTCCTTGTGACCATGGTGTATCGGTGTCTCTTGATCGGAAGGGAATTTCCCGATGGCACACCGGGTTGTGTAAAATGCCTTTATGTTTCGAGTGTGTGTGTGTGTGCACGCGCGTAGCGTCCTCAGTAGTGTCAGCATATTGGACTTGACCATGGCATCCAAGTAAGACCATGCAGTTTCCAACGCATACCTGCAACTAGTTTGATGACTGGGCGTGCTGAGCAGCGGGGCGTGCTGGCAGCGGTGAGTTCTCGAACCGGATATCCAGCCAGCCGATGTTTCGACTTTTTCCACTGGCCCCGTTGGAAAAGAGCCTCGCAGGAGGTGGCGATCAAGAAGATTCCCAACTCTTGGCAGAATACCACCGAGGCGCAGCTTTGTGCGGGTCGAAGTGGGGACGCCGAGTGTAAGTCTGGGCGGAGTGCACGTGGATTTCAAGCTAGGTTGCGTGCTGTTTCCAGCGGCTGCGGTTTCCACCAATCGTTTTGCAATTTTTGGATGCCCAACTCATTTTTGCGCAAAGAACCCCAATGCTATCAGCAGATGTTTGGGTTACGTAATTAATCGTACTTTTATAATAGGCTTTTTCGCCTCCGTTCGCTTCCCAGCATGCTTGCTTTCCCAGCCTGCAAGGCAAAGCGGTGCTTGAGAGAGATCAAGTGACTTGGACGAAACGAAGTCGTCACGACGAACGGATGGGTCGAACGATGCACCGACCGACGCACCGGACTGGACTGGACGGCCCTGGACTGCCCTGGCCAAGCCCTTCGTCCATGTTCGGAACCCCACGGTCCCTGGAGCGAGACGTGTGCCATGAACATGTCTTGCAGGGTTTTCCCAGAGGGACCTCTTGGGATGGCAAGAACACATGTCGATAGTACTTTGGTAGGTTTAGCGCACAAAAAGCATGGAGTACTACACTCACACTCATGAAAATGGAATTGAATGAGCCAATGGAAAATAGCCAGCAAAAGATAGGTGTTCTATTCAGTTTGATGCAGGGCCCAACTATCTTCCAGAGAGTTTGTTTGCATCGGATCCCATGCTTAGAACATGTTACAAGCCCCCAAGCTGCCCACAACTAGCTTCGTACGATATATAGTGCGGTGTATATATATATATATATGTTTTCATGTGTAGATATAGAGTATAGAGATCAAATCATATAGAAATCTATCTATCTATCTATCTATTTATGTTGTTTGTTTGTCTGTTTGTCTGTCTGTTTGTCTGTCTATCTATCTTTCTATTCTATTCTATTCTATTCTCTATTCTATTCTATTCTCTATTCTATTCTATTCTGTCTAGTCTGTCTAGTCTGTCTAGTCTGTCTTGTCTGTCTTGTCTGTCTTGTCTGTCCTGTCTGTCCTGTCTGTCCTGTCTGTCCTGTCTGTCCTGTCTGTCCGTCCGTCCGTCCGTCCGTCTGTCTGTCTGTATCCTTGCATTTGGCAAGGGGTCCCCGATCCATGCTCCAATCGGCCGTGCTTCGGAGCGCGTCCATCCCCTCCACCTTTAACCCAACCCTGGCCACCCCGTTGTTTTCCCGGTTCCTTCCACCTGTCAACCGGCCACGGGCTCCGGAAGAGCCCCAGCAAGGCTGCTGAAGATGTTGGACCATGAGAATGTGATCGAACTTTTCGAGGCACCACGGCACCGTTCGAAGTGCTCGAGGCGTCTCAATCGGTGTCGTTTTGGATTTTAGAATATTTTAGACGCACTTGGGATCATCTGCAACGGTCTGGAAGGGAGTTGGAACATTTATGAAGTATGAACATGTTGGGTACATCGCAGAAGACGGGAGGTCTGTGGGATTTGGAGGGTATGGATAGTTGTTGAAGTTATACATGCACATGTTATGTATGCTATAATAGCTACGCAATGTATCACAAGTCCTCTCTAATTATTATAGAGCTAGATTTCTAAATGCTGTGTTGCCTCGGAACTTGGGCACCACTGCGCCTGTACTTATATTGCTATGCTCTTCTCACGTGCGCTTGCAGTTGCTGCTTTCTTCCATCCGCTAAAGCCTTGGCATGCTATACCAAGCGAAGTCATAGTCATAGTCGAACGGTTCGGTTGGTTTGCGTTTGATGGTTTGCTTCGATCGCCTGGTAGTTTGGTTCCTCCACATGGTGTGACATATAGATTGCCAAGTGTTGCACGACCTCTCAGTTCGACCACTGGAAGAAGGAAAGACTTAGACCAATACCATTCCAATTCCCATTGCTGCTTGGGTGCCCCAAAATGGAAAATGCACCCATTTCGTCAGCCTTGTTTCGCCCCAGCTGCCAGGTTATAGAGCCTCCCTGCACGGTCTTCAACGAGGCGCCGGTCCGACTGGCCACGGCGCCACCGACATCGCCGCCGTTGGAAGAAGGAGCATGGACCCATCGTGGGCGGGACTGGGCGGTGGCGCTCGGTGGCAAAACACATGAAATCCAGCTTCGCATGGGTGGGAAACATCATGAAACCCATCCTCTCCTCCAGTACTGCGTGTGTGCTTTGAATGTTGTGTCTTTTTTTCCCCCTTCCTCTCTTGGTCAAACCCAGTCTGGTCATGTCCAACCGTGCGAGGTCTATTTGGTCACCGAGTTGTGCGATGCGGACCTGCACACCGTCATCAACTCGGAGACGCCCTTGAGTGAAGACCACGTGGCTCGAAATAGAAATGAACGAACGCCGAGGTGTTCAGTCGAGGGATGGCGGGATGGCGGAGTTGTGGATCATTTGGGGCAAGTGGATGGGGAAAAGAGGCTCATTCTCCTGGAAAAGAACATATGTTTGAGCTACAATAGCGACATGTTCCACATATTGAGATACTGTATCCACAGAAATCTCTTGTGGGACGTCCCTTATAAACCCTCCCTATTGGCTGGGTTTGTTCCGCAGTGGCTGGGTGTGGGATGGACTCATGCCGATCGCAAGACGCTTCTTGCCACTCAGCGATGCCCTTTGTTACCAGTAGTAGGGCCAGGAGCTAGTAGTAGCGGTAGCGTTGTTAATGTTGTTTGTGACATCCCTACCGTACCCTCTTAGGTACACTTCTGGGGGGGGACCTAAAAAAATGTAACTTACAATTTCCGGGGGACCCCATAAATGTATGTTGATCCCCCCCCTCGTTTTGGGCCCTACTTATTCAAGTAGAGGCCATATTCATGGTCCCCCCCCCCCAGATTTTGGCTGTGTTTTGGCTATGTCCCTGCGTGCATGTTCCTGGGAATTGTCCAGGAAATGAGGTGCTGGCTGGTGTGTGTCAGTTAGAAATTTTAGAGAAAATGTAACTTACCACGTCC